ATCTTCTAAGACACGAAAACAATCAGAGGTCGGGGCTCACCAAAGAGCTAGAGACCTTGCTGCCTCGAAACAAACTGTCTAGGCTTTGTTATACCTTCCGGCCCACAGAAGTTTCAGCCTTGGTGCTTCAAGCTCTTGTTGCTCTCAGGAGTCAAATGGCTCGTTTTGCTTTTAAGTTCCACCATGATCAAATTGAGGTATTGCCTGACGGTTCACAAGTTGTACTGGGAGCTTCATGGATGATCAACCAGGCCGCAAGATGCTGCGAAGGTAATTGGTTTTCCGCACAGGATTTCCTTTCCAAGACCTTTCTCAATTTTCATGCTCCAACATTTTCAACAGGGAAGAACCTGCCTTGGACTTGCTTGCTTCAAGAAAGATGCCCAAGTTAAGCCAACATGTTGAAGGAGCTCCTATTCGACATTGGTAGCAAGCGCCTTGGGTTGTGGAACTCAACCTGCCAGAGTCCCGCTCTTACTCAGCTCGGAGCCCAGTGAACATTAGACGCGCGTCTTGACCATCCCGAATGCATGTCCATACTGACGCAGCAAGGCCCACACCACTTCAAAACTTGCGGGGGCGTGCAGGCACAGACGGCCTTTGTTGACAAGTCTTGACATCCTACCTTAGAATCCTTAGAAATGCTATGAAATGAGTGCAAGATAGTTCTGCTTCATCAAGCTACATGCCTGCCGTCATGAGTCGAGACAGTGACACAAGCTTTCACAGATTCAATCCCTTCAGATAACTGCTTCGAATGTCCCGGCCCACCACGAAAAAAAACTCTTCAATTAGTGCACTTCCTCCAGCTCAGAATTGTTCTTGGGGGCAGGGGGCTTGGGCAAGTTTGGGGGTTTCGGGTTCTTGGGTTGTTTTTTTTGCTGCTGAAGGGTCGGAATATTTGGAGTGGCTGCAAGGTTATTTGTGGGGTTTGAAGAAGTAAGAGCTGGTTTCAAGCTTGCCAGAACTGTCTCCCAACCGTAGGACAAGGATCTTGGATTTCAGGATATGTATCCACATGCCTACAGCTGAAGGCTGCAAGTGAGTTTGTTCGTGATGAACAGTCATGAACATTTTATATATCCAAATCTCCGTCACCATAAGCTAGGGAGGGTCAAAGTTCATGAACATGATTAATTTAATGGGCACAAAGATTGAGAAAACACTCACCAAACCCTGATGACGTGCAGCGAGCGAGACTATCAACATCCAGCTGCTCTAGGCAGTAAGATCGTCATCAGCTGTATGTTTTTTTTGTTTTATTACAGAAAGACAGAAAGTTTTGTCGGTTGATGTTGATTGGCTCACGAACGCGTACCATACTGTATTTGGTCGCTTACTATCTCTTGCCGATTTTGGTGTGATGCCTTTGTTTCTAGGCCAACCGTGTTTCACCCATTCCCCAAAGTGCTTTTGCAAAGGAGACTTCATGAGCTTATTTTACACTTTTTGTGGGCTAATCTGCCGAGCCCTCTTCATATCTTCAACTGTGTCAGCCTGATGGTAACCAAACGCCTTTGCCACTCTTGGAGTGCAAAGTCGTGTCAGCTGTTGGCTTAATCAGAAGTTTTATGTGATCACTCTCACTCCTCCAACGATTGCACACTAACGATACTGCGCGTTTTATATGTTTTGGGGAGGAGAAGGGCAAAAGAACCGCAGGCCAAAACATCATGGCTCAAACATTTTTCCTTTCCTGGCACCTCGGCGATCCCAATCCCAATGGCGCTTCCCCGAAACAATCGTGGGTGATGTCATCCTGTGGCAGGAAAGTGGCCTTCTCCTACGCCCAAATCGTTTCCTTCCATCCTGCCAAACAACAGCAGTCGGCCAAGTCTTCCAAGTCTTCTTTATCGCTCCTCTTTGTGTTTGCTGCCACTCTTGCCTGCTGCAGGGACGCAAATCATGCGCGGGACTCTTTTGTTGGCTTGAGCATTGACCACAAAGGGGTCAGAAGCCGAAAAAAAACCACAGCAAACACACTGAGATCAAATGCAAAGGCCTTTCTCTGGGACATCACCGAAGCTTGCAGGCTGGACTGGTGCCAGCAATTCAGAACATTTGAACGTGCCAGCGAGGGCTTTCCCAACCTCGTTCTCGTGGTGCTGTGAGGTATATTAGGCTCTGACAATGCAATGGCAGCGTTGTTCCCAGCAAACAGAGCAAAGACAAAGAAGAACCAGTCGCTTCTGGCAGAGTATGTGAGTCATTTACGAGGTTTTGCTGCTACCAAAGACTGAGATGGGGACAGTCTGGCTTGCATCAGGAACCATCGACAATCATTGACTGCGTCACACTTCCATTTGATGCACTTCATTTCTTTGCATATTGAATCATTGAATTTGCTGTTCAGGACTGGTACTCGCTGGAACATGTGCCAGTCTTTGCGCTTTCGGAAGGCAGACTGGAGTCGTTGTCGTTCGTTTTTGCCTTTAGAGCTCACGCGATCTGGACCAGGCGTGCTCTGTGGAGATTTTTGCGAGGCACTGGCGTCTGTTGGTTTCTGTGCTTTTGTCCCAGACTTTGCCCAGACCTTTGCAAGCCCTGGAGAAGATGAGCAACAGCAGAGCAGATCTCGGCAGATGAGAGCAGAGTAGCAACAGCAGCAGCAGGGCAGCAAAGCACGGGCAGGTGTTAGCCTATAGTCTATATGTATCTATATGTTCTCTTTACCAACGGGCATGCGTAATACCGCAATACCCTATTTTACTGAGCCATAGTATGATGTTTTCTTCCTATGCTGGTCCAAGTTGGCGCAGTGTCATGAATTTCATGAAGGTTTCAATGCAGAACTCCTGTAAGAAAGGTCTGGGGAAGCCAAGTTTCTGAAGCGGAGTTGCGTGCCTTTCTTGATGGTCAAAGGCTAAAGGATATAAACAAGGTTGCCAGTCGCAGAGAATTCCAAAGGGGCCAAGGCATGCCAAGGCTGCAGGGAGGACACACAAAGGAACTGGAAAGCGTGTCGAGCGAAGAGACCCACAGGACCACAGCTGGCCAAGCTGATTTGCTCTCTTTTTCTTGAAAGAATCGAGCGGCTCCTCCGCATATCCCCCTCTGTTCGACAACTAGTACTGACGTTCAAGGTGGCTTTTGGTGACTAGAGGCGAAAGAGAACACAAGTTGGAGCCAATGGCCTCCAATCGGCCTCCAACCTATATAATATCGATTTCCAGTAGGTCATTTTCGATCCTTGAGAAACATGAGTAGCTGGGCTGTTGTCAGTGCCTCCACAGCAGAGCTTGTCGAGGCACAACGTCACAATTCCTTCATGTGACTGCCTGGTCTTGATGACGTGCCAGGTCAGGTGGCATTCCTTTTGAAAAGCTCGTTCCTTTGAGAATCCGGTCTGAAGCGAATGTCGTTTTGTTTTCCTGCGGACTTGTTCTACATGCAGATGGTCCTGTAGCTACATCGACTTCGTCGCGGAATCTTGTCGATTAACATCTACTCACAGTAATGAAGTTGCGCCAGGCAGAACATACCCCATGATGGTCAAGACGGTTTTGTGAGCGCAGCAGATAGCCATTGAGAACCATTTGCCATGTGTCTATTTGGGTGGCGGCGCATATTTGCCACTGCAAGACGAGGTGCGCTTCAAAGTTGTGGGAAAATCCACGGCCCTTTGTGCCTGCGAAGGCATTTTGTGCCTGCTCGTTTCTGGAGCGCTTGGCCAGGTGTTTCCAGGTTGCATCCACTTGTGCGACCAACATTGTATCAAGCCGAGATACCATGTTACTTTCAGATACCATATCTCGGTGTGTGACCTGCCAAGGATTAGCATTATGGACACAGAGCAGCGAGAAAGTGGAGGCCTTTCAGTTGATATTCAAGTCAAGTCACACATATATGTATATATATATATAGATAGTCAGTGTTGGTTTGTTAATTGGTTGGTTGATTTATTGCAGATTTATTGATGTCGTGTGGCAGGATTCCTGAATGTAATAGGTTGCGGAGCTCAGGGACCCATTCACAGAACGTCCACGCTGGAGAGATGATTTTTGTGTATCATGTTGTTTTTTGGGCACTCCACTCGCCAGGTAGAAAGGGCAACCTTCAAAATGTCCATATACAAGCTCGCTTATGTCCCATGCACCCCCCTGCTGGCAAAACATTGTCCCTTTTATTCGCTGTAAACTGTTTGGGGAAAACGGTACAATTGTAGTCAAATGTCAAAGGGTTCGAGCCGCAGAAATCGCTTCACCAAATCGCCGGCAGGAACCAGTTTGGCTCATAATCTGGGACGTTGCTGATTGTGCCGGGGAACCCACTGCACGAGTGAACCTTCTCAATTCCGACGCGAACACCTGCACCGGCTGCTACGATCGGTGTGAATCAGGAGTGGGCTGGACGTCTGTGAAGCTTGAAGGTGCAGGAGCTGCCGCGATTGCCTGGGACTGTATTGGATTGTCAACGGCCTTTCCGGATCCCAACTTCCAATTGGGTGCACATGTCAGACATGTTTTGAATAGGTGATTTTGCTCAGATCTTGCAAGTCCTGAAGAAGATGAGCATATGCAGCCTTCGCAGCAAAAGATCTCAGCTGATGACAGCAGAGCCACAGAGCACAAATCTATACACAATTTGGATGTCGGATGCTCCATACTCATTGCGTCTCATGGATTGGTGACAGGATCAGTAAGAACTAGTATAATCCTTAGTTGAGTTGGCAAGAGCATAATAAAGATCCTGTCCTGGATTGACTATCAATCTTTGTCATTCCCAAGATACTTCAACAGTTGTGCATTTGAAGATTCTACCAGAGGACCGTCATGGAGAACGTCGCTACTTTTGGCTCCAAACTTGCACAATGGAGAACGGCGGTGCGCCATGCCGCCGGGGTGGCCTGACTCGGTATCGTAAGGGTGAGCGACGAAATCCATACAGTCCGGCGCTCGGGGTTTGTCCGTCGCCCGCGAGGACGTGTCACATGTTGCGACGGTGCGAAACACCGCAGAAGTTTCCACCTGCACCTGCCAGAGGTTTCCACCGAAGTCTTCATGGTTTTCCCTCTTGTTGCTGCATCGCCTCAAGATGCGCCACCGCCAGCTGTTGTGAAAGAGATTCTCGTCTCGTCAGCTGTTGTCTTTACCATGCTTGACCTGAACATTTGGCTGCTTGAGAAAACGTCTTCGAACGTTGCATGGGTTTGTCCACCAAGGTTTCACTCCTATTTTTGGTGGCTGATCTTCGCCATGCTGGTGAGCGTAGCGGTGTTGCAGGTGACAACAGGTGATGGCTTCGGCATGTTCTTCACGATTATTTTGTCTTTGATCGTGTACTACATGGTCGCCGATGGGTGCTCCAATATGTCCATGTATTGCTTGCTGGTCTTTGGCCTCATTTCTGGCTTCGAAGCTCTCTTTGGTCTCCTAACACTTTTCAGCGCCATCACCTCAGCTCTCTCGACAGATACTGCTTCATCGGAATTCCGAGATCCTACAGAAAACGATAGAAAACGTAGAAGACCGACCGCCTTTTGCTGAGGTGATAGGCGGGAGAAGTTCGACCACCACGCTCATCAAAAGCAGAGATAATGCAAACGTTGTGTACGAGACGCAAGTCTCCGTACATCCTTTCTTCGATGGCACACAAGGGAGGCCTGGTATGAAACATGATGAACAAAAAGCTCTGTCACCTTTCCCATGCCTCAAAACAGCAAAAATCTACAGTGATTGTTTAATTGCGATATCCTTGACATATTTACACAAGGTTTTCCCGGTTGCTAAATTCCCATCGCCTCCAATGGACATCACAAAGTTTTTTTGGTGGCGGGACTTGGGATAGAAATCGCCCTGTTGCTGTGGGATCTCTTGGGACGGTTGGCACAATCCAGAATGAGTTTCCAGTGTCATTACAAGGTAGCACTTAGAATGGAGGTGGTACTAGTAGCACCAGCAAGAGTGACAGGAGTTGGATAGTAGCAGCAGTGGCAGTGGTACTACTAGCTGGCACTGGGTTTTGCATTGCCTCTGGAAGTATGCATGCATGCACTACTTATACCATCTTATACCCAGCTGACTGCAAATCACTCAGGACGAGATACAATACTCAGACACATGGCCGCACGTATGTGTTTCAGACTTTGCGGTTTCAGAAAGGCGATGGGCATGTGTCAAAGGGTCGCCCTGCCAATGTGAGGTCAGCGTTGCTGCTGGCAATGCCCATAATTATGCTTTTGAGTGCTGTGATGTCTTGGTGGTCATTCAAAGCTTATCCTACCAATCTTTTCGGAGATGGGGATGAGGACTGCTCTAAAGACATGCTTCCTTTCCACTTCAACGCGGTTCGGTTGTTTTGCCAGTAGAGCCAGTGAGACGATGTTCGGCAGGAAGAACCCCTCTACCAGCCAAGCGGCCCCACAGGCCGGGCAAACTGCCCCAGGCCCCACAAGCCTGGTTTGTGCGTCTGACATTTCAGGCACCTTTGGAGCTTCCCGGGGACGGCAACAGGCCGGAAGCGATGCTTCCCAATGCCAGGTAGATCGTAACAAATGCCCGTTTCTCTTGGTCAGGCTACACCGGCCGTGCCGCGGCTGTTTGAGGGGCCAAGATTATTTGAGGGGCAAGGGCAAAGGCTTGGTCAATAGGCCAAGGTGCTTGCCTCAAGACTCAAGACTCCGGGGTCTTCGGGCTCCGCTTTCGGAAGTTCATGTCGGCTAAGGTTCGTGATTGTCTCAAAAAGGCGAGAAAATCCCCGCGTCCAGAATAAAACACCGGAAAAACATGGAAAAAACGATGTTCGCAGGCCGAGGCCAAAGTCGTGAGCGGTGGCATTTGTTGATGGCTAAACTGCACATCAACACCCCGACAGACCATGCGGAGGGAAATAGCTCTTCATGCACTGGGTTCTTCGGCGATTATTGATGCTGCGGAAAGTCAAAAGAACGATCGATGAAGAGGGTCAGTCTTCTCATGCTTTTTCAGTGTTCTGCAAGACGTTTCTTCAAGAGCTGCATGCCTTGCTCACTCAAAAAGAAGATCATGCCTCGCCGGGCTGGATCTATATAGATCTATATAGAAGGAGAACACTTGAAGTACAGCAGTACAATGCGATCTTTATGATGGCAGTCGTGATCCTCATCCAACAGTATCCAAAGGTCATTTTTGTGTTCATCCTGTTTGACCAATGAAACCATGGGGGGCTCAGTTCTGTTCCCCCGGTGATGAAGCTGTGTGCGGAACCAAGGACTGCTTGACAGAACCAAGCTTCCGAAGGACTGCTTGTCGTCTCGATGAGGCTACAGCTGGTTGCATCCAGCGACATTGATGGCTTGGCTAAGCTGAACCTCAAGAGCGAGGTCCTCAAAGGCTTCGAATCTTTTTGCATGTTGAATTTCGGTAGCTTTGAAATGCTTCGAAGCTTCTTCGAAGTATTAGTGGAACTGCACAGATTTCTTCGTCATGTCACAGTGCGCCGATTGCTCCCAGGTTCTGGTACCTACAATGTCCTTGCCTCGTACCGGTGGGATGGGAAGATTGGAAGATCTTTGGACCATGCAAGACAACAGATGAAGACATAAGAGCACGGCAGTCATGATTGTCAATGATGAGGCGAGCTTACCAGTTGCTCAAGTCGATCTGGATGCAAGGAACTTTCAGCTTTGGCCTTAGCGCTCAGTGGAAACTGCAGTTGATCCCCAGAGCATGTGTGATCCGGGCAGTGCTCGAACACTCAGGCCCATGTCAGCATTCAACGAGCACTTTGAAGCTCAAGAGCCGACGCTGCAGGTGCTCAACGGATGATCGTTCGCTTTATTGTCATTTGTGCCGTCTCCACCAGGACCCCTTCGCTCTCCTTGTGAGACATAGCAGTGGCTCTGTGCCCTTCGGCATTTCAACTCACTCTTCGTGAGAAAAGGGAGTTTTTCCTGCTCGTTGGCACTCACCCTTCCTCAATCTGTCGCCTATATACTTAATTTAAGTGATGTCTAAACAAACTGCTAGGTAACCTGCTACTAGCACTAGGGACGTATCGGATAGCGCTCGCGCTATTCATTTGGTTCCTAGATTACCTCGACGTGGTGGAAAGCTTCGATCACATTGTGTGTCCTTATGGCAGGTACAGCGGCTACAAAAGTGTCGAAAGCCTGTTGGCAAAGACTGCCAAGATATGCTCAGGAGAAACGGGATTTGCACATGGGGGAAGAGTGCCCGGCTAAAGAGTAATATCATGCGGTTAATCCACAGGAGGACTTCCAGGATTCATTTCCTTGAGCACGTAGGGCTGTGTGTTTGTCGCAAAACCAGATTGCACTACTCCTTACGCACTCCGGTCACTTTAAGTCTTACAGTAGACTTTAGGCTTAACATGACTGAACTACCTTTTGCTGAAACACTGCACGCCATTTTTTGCGAGGCGTGCCAGGGATACAATATATTAGCCCTTGCTACCTTCTCGAACTACCTGCCACGCGAACGCTAAATGCCAATTGGCCTATCCAAAGAAACACTTAACCGTGTAACCAGCAGCTTTTGAACTTGGCTCAGGGCGCACGTAGCGCGTCTTCAAGCCCAAAGCAGTGAAGGAATAGCCAGGACCCAGACTTTTCTGTGGTACTTTGTGGTGCCATCTTTCTCTGACTCGCCCAATAGGATTGTGGAAGTTTATGAAGACTCCAGATCGATTTCATTGGTGCTTTCCTCACGTGTTCACATGTGTTGACCTCATTGGTAGACGGATCTTTGCTCCGCTTTCCACAGGTCCTGGAGCACTGCAATGGTGGCACACTGTGCTTGGCTGAGAACGGGGTCGAGTTGCATGGACCCAATGGAGTTGAATAGAATCCAAGTGGTGACGATGCAGCCAGGCAGGATCGAATCTTGCAGCGGCACTTCTTTGCAGAGCAGGAGTCCGCCATGCTGGTCAGACACATGCTTGAGGCTGGTGACATGATTAATGGGACAAAGGGTCCATCGAGTGACAGGAGCATATCCCCTAAGACATCCTAAAACTACAATAATGCTACTGAAAACGGTTTCGGGTCCTTCCAAACAGACACCAACGGATGGTTCTCTCTTTTCAAAGGCCTTTTTTGTTCCCCTTTACATTCATTGCACAAGCCTCATTGTATGTGTTTCGGTCGGGATCTCGTCGTTTCGCTTGGTCACGCTGCAGACGGTGCAAGCGCTGCACCGCGTGGGACTGTACCATGGCCACCTGACCCCGGATTGCTTCAGGCCACTTCAATCAACCTGTTGAAGTGCTTGAGTTGATTGATCATTGTTGCAATCGTTGTTGGAACATGTTGGAACCTGTTTAGTGCAAGAGCACAATTGTGCGATCTGTCCCGAGGTTTCACAGTGATCAAGCGCATGCTCCACTGAAGCTGGTGGATTTTGGGCTGGAGCTCAAGGCGCATCTGGCTTTGCTGTTTCCTCACCTCTGCTAGCGGCCTACTCCCCCCGTCATGTCAGACCCCTTTGCCACAGACCCCTTTCATCTAAAATACTCTAAACATCTCTAAAAGTTCAGAGTGGAATAATAACTGTGGCAAAGGAGTTGGACTTCTTGATTGTCTTTTTGACCGAAGAAGCCTTCTCAGAACTTCTCAGCTAAAATTTTAGAGTGGCAGATGTGAGATGCGCAGGGATGAATCTACGCTGGAAGACAACCGCACTCTAAACCACTCTAAAATTTTCACAGCCCGACATGAATCACTTCATCACTGTTTTGACATATATCATATCCTCTAAAATTTTAGATAGCCTTAGAGAGCCTTAGAGTAGATGTTCATTCTGTTTTTTTGGTTGTTTTAGAGTGGTTTAGGGTGTTTTAGAATGTTTTAGATAACTTTAGACTTTAGAGCTGTTTAGAGTGATTTAGATAGGTTTAGAGTGGTTTTAGATAAGTTTAGATGTGTTTAAATTGACATCTAAAAATCTAGAGGAAAGGGGTCTGTGGCAGCACGTGTGTTTTCCAAGACTGCGTCTTGCCAGGCGTGCCTATGCGAACGGTCTCCAGATTCTGGTCATGAGCAAATTCTGGCCCCAAGCAAGGCCGGACCGCCCAGGGTGCCCCTAGTAGCGTCCTCCTAGTAGTAAGGCCAGGAGCCCCTAGTAGCTTCTTGCTCCTACAGTTATATAAACCATGTTAGACCTGTCAGATTGAGCACTGGGAGTTGCCGCTGAAGCACTAACGATCATGACGCTGGCCGTCAGAGAGATGATTTGTTCAAGTCAAGAACTGGATCCTGTTGAATGTCTGACCGATCGTTCGCCACAAGATCAGAAAGTTTTTCCCTTGACCATATACACATTGTTAGGGGTTCACTGAACCTTGTCAAACTGCTAAGCTAGTGTGATGCTTTATCATGGATGAGGTTGCTTTTCTTGACATGTCAAGACGTCCAGCACTAGGCGACTGCTCGTGACTGGCCGCGCAGCAGCAGCCCCCACTTGTTTGAGGTGCTTTGGTGCTTATCAAGGAATCCTTTAGGGAAGTGCAAAGCATGACCAACTTGTTGTTATACCTTCGACTAGCCACCAAATGTGGTTGCAACTGTGCGCGGGTAATCTACATGATGGCAAAGAAAAGGCATTCGAATTAAGGTTTGCAGAGAATGCCAGCTTTGTCAACGCCTGCTTTTGCAGAGAGAAAGGAAAGGATATATATATATATACATATTAAATAAAGTACTCTATGGATTGCTATGGTGCAATACACTTATGCACTCTTTGTCGCAATGTATTGGAGGCGTGTAAAGTGGTCTTCTGCGCGCCCGAAGTCTTCCAGCACATGAAGGCTGCGAAGTCTTCCAGCACCGTGTTGCGAAGTGGACCGTGCTTTGGATGAAGGCTGAGACAGAAGGAGCCCCTGCAGACTTCACATCTTCCTGGATCCAAAGTGGAACGGAAAAGAGCTTTGATTGCAAGAGGATGTCAAAAACAAACAGAGAAGCATGATGAAGCATGGACTACTTGGGCTGTCATGCAAAAAAGCAAAAGCCTGACTTGAGTGCAGACACTTTTGAGTCCTCACTTGCCCTAGGGACATGCTAGATCTTCAGTTGCTTTCACAGGCCGGCTACAGAAACTTGAATTTGCACTGTGGTGACAGTACAGGTCAGTCAGATTCTCACGCAATACTAATACTCCTCACCAGCTTTCGGTGTATCCAGCTGTTTTACTTTGCCAGAAACACTGGCAAGTTCAAAAAACATAGGCGTTTTGCTGATCAGTTTCGATTTGCGCTCAGTCTAGGCGATTGATGTGCACTTGGAGCAGAATCAGGACCGCAACTCTGGCACTTGGAAGGACGCAGTTCTCCGCAGTTCTCAGTTCACCAATGAGCCCAATTTGAGGATCTTGGGATGGACTTCTTGATCCAAGCAGATATTTGGAGTGCCCTGCTCCAAGGGTTCAAAACCTGAGTGTCGTCAATTCATGTTAATTCTGCACGCCAAACATTGGAAGCAGTACTATTTGGATAAGCAATGGTTTGCCTGGTCTGGGTAAGTGCGTGGCCTGCGGTCTGACCTAGGTCGGAGCGATAGCATTTCTTCTCCTTTGTGGGTGATTTGGCTCAGCTTTAGTGCCCGCAACTCCTTTCACTGAGGCCACGTCGGCCACATAGGCCGTAGGTCATTCGATTTGCCAAGGTATCCACCTTTCTTCGCACCATGTCGCTCTGCCATCATTTCGCGTGTGGAGAAGATCGAGTTTTCCTTCGACGGGGCCTCAGCGCAGCGTCAAGCTACGCAGCACCTCCGGTGAGAGACTGAATAGCTTGACGCAGCATATTCGAGCTGAGAGGATCCGCCCTTCTGGTCCAAGATCTCAGAAGAGGCCAAGGTCGGGGCTCTCAGGTGCGAAAAAGGCCGCGAACATGTGGGAGTGAAGTGACTTCAAGGGATTTCAAGAGGAGTTCTTGACCTTCCTGTCTTCACTTTGAAGGATTTTGTTCAAAGATGCTTGCGCGGAGCTCCAAGCCAGCGGCTGAATGTAGAGGAGGATGCCCGCTTGCGTTCATGCACAATTTTATTGTTGAGCTTAAGTGAATCTAATTTTGCTTCTTTAATTTTTTGAGTGTTCAGGAACTGAATTGAGGGCTGAAATAAAGTTGCATGAGCTGAGCATCATGTTGCCGCGCTTGGCATCCTCATGTGCAGGCTTTACAGCATCCTTGGATCCATAAGTTGGCTGACACAGCACCTTCGGGACCGATGCTGCCATCCTTCGACACCTGCCTGCAAAGATGGTTCAGAAGTCATGGGATCAGGGAGGTATCACCGGATGGACCATCTGCTGTGTTCTGCGAAAATGGGCTGTCAAAAGTCCAAGCAAAGAGGGTTTTGGCAAGAATATGCTGCATTTTTTTGCATTATGTTACCTAGTAGCGATGCCCTTGTTCCTAGTAGCGTCTTTACTACTAGTAGTATTGCCCTTGTTAGTAGTAGCGATGCCCTTGTTATAAGTACCTAAATGTTCCAACCGACAGATTCCTGTGAGCCAAGGCTCTGAACCTTCGCCGCTTTTACAGGAGAAGAGCGAGCTCAAGAGATCCGAATCGAGCCACACAGACTTGCAGACATCAAAAGACTTACTGTATAGTGCCCGACAGACACTTAGAACATCTTTTGGAAAAAGTATTTTTTCCAAAATGTCCCTGGTGCAGGATGTTCTAAGCGTAAGGCTAAGAACATTGCAACAATGTAACGTTCTAAGTAATGAGTTAGAACATTGAGGAAACGTGTCCTTTCTTAGAACATCATCATAAGTGTCCTTTCATGAACCTGAAAAAGAGCGCATGTGCACAAAGCCAGACTTTTTAATGTGGAATGCTGCATAGTGACGGACAACCACTTATATAAAATACTTTTCCACAATCCAAAACCATTGTGTTTGTTCTAAGCATGCTTAACAATGATGTTCTAAGTAGGGTGGATGTTCTAAGACACGGGGATTTGATCATGTTCTAACTCCATCACTAAGAACATGGCAATGTTCTAAGCCTGGATCCTGTGAAAAAACGTCCGTTTGGTTCTAAGTAAAGGGTTTTGGATTTTGGAAAAAATCTAAGTTCTAAGTGGTTGTCCGTCGCTATATAGAATATGTATAAATAGTGAATGATAGCCCAGAGTCACTGAATGGCAGGACATCAATCATTGAGGCATGGCTGCTTTGCATGTTCGCGTCACGTCTTGGAGTAGACTCGCATGCCTGGCGCACGGTGAGGTGCTGGTGGCAAGGAGCTTGGCCAAACATTTGAGCTACAAAGCCTCTTTGGAGCTCCAGCTTGAGTCTGGCACTTTAGTCAGTGGAAACGGATGATGAAATGATGATGACATAACTTTTCCATTGCTTACAGAACTGCTTCTGCTTGGTTGCTTTCTCCTCTTTACTGCACTGAGGTGCGAACAAGCAGACAAGATGAAGTGCGGCTTTCTCACCTCAGCTGATTTGCGCCAGGCAAGACATTGCAATGCAAGTATGCTTGGAGAAACGTGTCCAGCTTGCCATGGACAGGTGTTGCAAGCATCTGGCCACTCTGACATTGTAGAAGTTCGGTACTCACCGAGAGAATGCACTGGACTTCATTCTTCGTGCACAGAGAACTCTCGCAGAGTGAGTTCAAAGGGGCGTGCTACTGGAGGCAGCAAAATCCTTCTTGAGCTTGATTTGTACTTGGTACTTTTGAGATCTGAGGCTATTGGATCGTGCTTTGCACGGCACTTGAAACACGCAGGGGAGTCGTGCCACCGATGAGTTCGGAAATTCCTCAAACGAAATAAACATTTGGATGACAAAAAAATCAATTGGTGCCACACAGAGGTACCTTGACTACAATGCCTTGTTTGACTCTGTGCGGCTTCGTCGGGAAGCTCTGTTGGAGGAGGCGGCAACATTTTTGCGAGCTAAAAGATGTCACAATGCACAACATCAGTTGTCTCAAAATCCAAGCTTGTCTTCGCAGTCGCAGTGTAGGAAATATGGCAAGCATTTGTGAAGCATGCCACTGCCTTGCACTCAGCTCTTGCACATGCTATTTGGCCGACTCCTTGCACAGCTTCCCAACTGCAATGCGAGGATCAAGAAATTTCAACTGATCGGGAATTCCACCGATCTGACCTGGAGACATTTTTCGAGGCCCGAACTCTCGATTCAGCAACCCTGAGATTACCTCGAAGCCACTTATGGCAGAAGCAACTAGTGGAAATACCAGCCACCTTTGTGAAAGAAGCTTGCCTTCCTACTAGTGGAAATACTAGTGCACTCTTCAGAGGCCTACCTATTCAAACTTCCCGGCCCGACTACGGTAAGAACATACACAACATACACAATCATACACACTATGTCATAGTCTCCCCCGTCAATGAATGTGTGCGTTTGCCTGCCAGCTCTTGTTTCCAGTTTGCCGGCTTCCCTAGCCTAAGCATGCCATTGCGATGAACACTACTCTTTTCAGGTTTGAATTGGGTGCTTACTTAGCTGGGGATTGAATTGGATATGGGAGCCAAAGTACCGTACGGATCCCCAGGGTGGAGACAAACGGAGCGAATGAGTGAGCCGCCGACCAGCGGACAAGCGACCAGCAGCTCGTCCGGGCGGTCTGTTCAGCCCCGAAAGAGACCGATGCCTGAGGTAGACCGATGTAGGCAAAGGAGGCAAGTGGGGAAGGCAAATGACCGGTGTGGATAATCTTCCGAAATGAACTGCGTATGAATATGTAAAGAGCAGACAAGAACAATAGAAGCAAGCAACAAGCTTCATGAACACAGGCAGAAACTAGAAGGTCGAGAAAATCAAAGAAGTAGACACAACAAGGGAAGGGTATGGACAAGTAAGACGCGATGAGGAAGCAGGCCAGAGAACAAGAAAGACAAAGTCGAAGGCACAGGAACGCTACTGTGGTCAGAACATGGAAACAAGGACAGGACACCCTTGTGGAAAATAGAGGAAATAAACAGCACACAAACATAGATGCAAGACATAGCAAAAGGGTTCTTTGCAAGCTTGCGCCTACTTCCGCCTCAAACATGCATACTTCAGGTATTTTTGCAGTTGAATATTGACAGGACTACATAGCCACTGGGGCTGGGTAGCAAAAACAATTGTTAACAATTGCATTGTTGATCGTATGAAACACTCTCGTGACTATGGTGTCATGATGTGTCTTTTTTCTTCCCCAAAACAGGCCTTTGACCTCAGCAAAGTCTGTGGTCGCGAAGGGGCGCAGGAGGGGATTCGGTCGTCAAAGTCCTGAACACGTCGCAACTCGCAACTCGCAACTTCGTTGACCATGCGGCCAGAGTGAATTGTGCTTGGCATTCAGACTGCGCACAGGATGGGATCCGTAGCATGGGCCTTGTGCTTCTTCATGTTTGTGCATTTTCTTTTCTTGAATGTTCTTCGATTTATAATACTTTTCACCTGGTCGTAATCCGTGATGAACAACCAAGGCTTATGGGAAGGAGGTGTCAAGTACAAGGAGTGGCGTGAGATCTTCCAGAGCACCGAGGAAACCTCATCCACATATCCGCACCATGTGTCTGTTGTGTGGAAGGACTTCGGTTCATTCATGAAGGAGTTGCTCCAGCAGCTGCGGCATTTTGCTCAGAGGACTAATGTTGACTTCTGATCTATAAATGGCTCTTGAATAATAATAATACTGTACTAATATAGAAAAAAACACTATACATGGACCCCAAATTATACTATGTTTTTTCTGTACCCTGATTTATTTACTCTTATTTACTTTCCTTTCCTTTTCTTTCGTATCATTTCGTTTTATTATATTTCAAATTCAAATCAAGCTATTTCTTATATTTTTTATGGGTTTGTCATTATTTGGGGCCTGCACTTGATCAAGGGGCGAGGAGGGGGGTCTATTACTCGGAGGTGGACATTTTAGAGGAGTCGGTGCTAGGACCGCTAGGCAAGCAAACGAAGCCACAATGAATGGATGGAGAAAGTGGGTTTGATGACTCTGTGCACCGAAGGTCTTCAGTGAATCAGTCACTGGCAAATGCACCGAACAAAGAATAGCTTTGGGAAGTGCTTTGTACAAAGTACCAAGATGGTTTGTTAGCTCTTACGATTGCCAATGTTGCTCAAATTCTGCATCAAAAAGCCACTCCCGAAGCGCCAGCCCGGCTCCAGATGCATCTTCCAAAACCGCGAAGCAGCAGTGATCATGGAAGGATGCTGTGCAGCATGTGGAGATGTGGAATATTGTGGAATGATGCGGACACATGTCGACACATTCTTTCAGGCTCAAGTCAAGTAGTTCATGAATGATAGAACACGTGAACCGGCTTTTCCATTCACCCGACAAGACACTGGTGCGGTCTGAATCTGAATCAATCTAGAATCTAGTCAAACGCCCAAATGACAAGATGTCACATGCTCGAGTTCCCCGATCAGCAACGTATCAACACCAAATGGCAAAGAATGACCTCATGAAACCTGACTCTTGATGCTGGTGCCATATGGCGCCATGGTGTTTTTTGCCACAGGCGAACCCTTTTGGACACCAAACTGGAGTGAACAATATTATATATATATATACATACGCAGTATATGTAATGGTCCACAACGATCGATTACAGGAACGATCCTTTCTTCCATCGAGACCACTGTTCGTCGTTTGTATCTTCGTTGTTCGTCGGAGGACGTTGACGTTGTCCGTTGCGTTGTCTTCGACGCACACGACATGTTGACCGGACTGCCAGGATGCTACCTATCGACGGTGGTAGCAGTTGCAGTTGACTACTTTGACAGCTTTCACGGCCTTGAGTCCGACTTTGGACAGGATGAGTTGTGCCTTGCTTTTGAAATCCATCCATCAGATTTGTGCAAACGAATTATGGTGGGTATATATTATATGTATATATATATGAAGATTTCATCAATAACGTGTTTGCTTAGGTATGGTTATGGAAGCGGCTTTCGGGACAGACGAGGTGTGGCTCTTCAAGAGGGACAGAGCAACAGCTGAGGAAGACAGAGCAACATTCAGATCATTACAGACTCGTCAGGTCCAAGTGTTTATGATGACTACTTTGGTGGGCCTTATGGCTCGTTCGGGAACTTTCAACAAGCTGACCGCAAGGAGTCAGGCGAGAAAAGACGCACATTTCAGTGCATGATCAGTGTGGAAGCAACACAAATTCCTCAAGGATGATGTGTTTGTTAATTTATGTGACATTGACATAGATGCACAATATACATAGGGTATGTTATGTTATGTTTATTAAACATATATATATATGTATGCTATGTGATAACTCGTGACATTTTATGTCAACTTATGGCCTTGCCCCATTCCCAGTGATGAGTGCCATCATTTCTTTAAGCGGAGCTCGCTTGCAATCTTGTGGCGTGTCCAGTGTCCAAGATGGTGTCAGACTCAGATTGTTATAATGTGTTTGTGCCATGGCTGCCATGGTCATTCGCAACATCACATGAAAGCATTTTGATGGATGGACAGGGTTCATCGCGGGATCAACATGTGTAGTCCAATTGCTGGTGTGCTGCATTTGCACTGTAGCAATATGCTTTGCCTTCGTTGAGATCATTTGAAGGCACGTCACGCCTGGAAAAGCAAGATAGATTTCAATGAATCAACCAAAGCCCCCTAGTAATGGCCAGTATTTGATTTGTTGGGAAAGGCAGAATTGACATCGTTGAGATCATTTCTCAACGTGGTTATAGAACGATTGGAACTGCCATGGAGGACTCAAGTCAATTAGATTCAATTAGTAATTTTTATATGAGTGGCAGAGTGACATAACCCAGCTTTGGTGTTTTTTTGCTAGGTGACTGCATGAATCATACTGGTAGTAGAGATACCGATGCGGATGGCAAATTGATATCTAGTTTATTAAACAGTTAATATGTTCCAATTTGCAGGTATTCTTGTGTGCGCAGGCAAAGATGATTGCTCTCGGATTGAAGCCGATGGGATTCCCTTGGCTGACTTGCTGCGAGAGGCGAGCAAAGACACCTTGCTGGGCCAAGACTGTGCGAGATCATGGTGGTGGAATTTCTCTCCTAAATTTTCTCTCCTAAATTCAGGAACTGCTCTGGGCAGTGTTCTTCAAGGAAGCTTCCAGCTACTAGTTACTAGTAGTATCTAGTAGTAATATCTGAGTAACTAGCTTCTAAGGACCAAGCAACTTGCGTACAACTGCATGCGACGAGGGTATATCTCCGAAAGAGCCGGTGGGCAGAAGTTCAGAACAATGCTTTGAACACTAAGTATATTCACACTGCTTTGCGGTCGAAGAAGCTCGCACGGATACTTGTGCTCTTTGAGCCGGGAAAGACAGTTGCGGGCTCAAAGCGTCAGAAGAAGTGTTCTGTGAGGAAAAGGCGGTCATGGAAACAACGAGAGGTAGGTGCAAGAAGCAGGATCGAGTTTAGGATGAACATCTGGGTTAGTTACTCCACGACGATTTATGCGTCCCCCCTACTACCCACATTGCGTCTTCGACATCGCCTACACTGGTATTGTACTCATTTCTCTTTCCGGAGGGCCACTGGAGCAAGGACACATGATGTCGAAAATGCAGTCTTACTCGGGCAGCACCCCTGACATCACCAATGGCTTGTTTATTTTTGTCAGTGTCAAAAAAAGCGTCAAAAGCACAACATTCTAGAGCAAAAATACACCCCAA